TTATTAAATATCACATTTAACACAAGAAATAAGGGCTATCCTATCATATCTGACTGTCGGTGATTGTAATTGTGGTCATGTTTGCAGATTACAAATGAAGGGTGACGTTAAACAAGCAGACATGGATGAGTTATGAATTATGATAAGGAGGCCACTATTGAAACAGATGAATGTATTTCTTTATCAACGAATAACATTGCATATGATCCGCGTGTGGTGTAGTAAATCACAGATAAGGCAGTAGATAAGTGATAAAATTCCGCCAAAATGATGTAAAAGATGTAAAATCTCCTGTAGTAAATTACAAAATCAAACATCGAAATATTGAAATATGTTCAAAGTTAGCGATACCGAAATTATTAGGGGTATGATAGTAATATTTCTGATACCACTAATAACTTCGACACAACAAAACGTTGTAATCCTCATCCAAATATATAAAGAATTATAGTTAAATCCAGTTGTATTAACAGACATTTGTCTTTCTTCTTCAGGTTAAAAATATTTCCACAATTTCATAATTGAACAAGATTTAAAACAATATCAAGTATTAATAGCTGCATATTATATGTTTGGACGTTAATATATATTTAATTAGCTGTACGTGCCTTTTTACAATAAAACGTCTGGTGAAGGTGACCTTGAAGTCACCAAAACCTCACGTTCAAATCTTCTACTGGTTCTGTTATAAGAACGTTATTCTATTGACATTACCAACTTCGGTATTTTTTTAATCAAATGGGCCGCCAGGTGGTTAACTGGAAATCGCATAGTATTAAACCAAAAGAGTCGCAATCCTACACCTGACCGAATGTTAAAATGTAAGTGGTCATTCTTGACCATTTCTATGACATCATTATCAGCATCACCTGTTTCCTACCATATTAAGATCTATTTTGGTAATTAGTGTGATTGATGACGTTCGTACAATTGGCGTATAGGTTTAAAGCATTTATATAACTGATGACTTTATTAGGACGATAATAAAAATTGATAAATAATGTTACCGACCATTCAAAGCCAATTACGTTATGGTTTCATCAGTAGAAATAAAAAAACAATACAATATCACTCAAACACATCTAAATATGATTCAAACTGGATACAAAAATGGAATGACCATTTAAGTGTACATATCTGTGTTATGTTAATCAATATCGCACATAGTAAATTTTGGAATGTCTGAAGTAAATCAAGTTTAACGTTTGAATTATAAATAGCTGTCACTTTTGTAAATCCATGCATATATAATATATGTTAATTTGTTTAATTAATAGATTTTATACTTCCGCGTTATTTTTTTTAGAGTTGATGGAATGTATTGAAAATCATGGGACAAATACAATGCAATCATATGTTGTCTATATTATTTTTCTTTTGAAATATCAAATCAGACAAACATCGTCCTCTGTTAGGTACAAGGAAGTGTAAATATGGCGCCATGGATTCTCGCCATAATTTCTTTTTTCTTGCACTAACAGCTGCGATGATAGAGAGAGTATCATGAAATTAATAATCCTCAAATATAAGCTTGATACATTACCAGTAAGTACCAGCACAACCGCTTTGACATGAACTCCTTTCCTACATCACATCTGTGATATTGATGTGGGGAACAACGGTCTTGCCTATCGTAGTGGGCTTGCTAATTATATAGGCATAATAAAGATACTGTCCCGGTTGCCCAAAGGTTTTTCAAATGTTAGTAAAAATCATATAGTAGCTACTGAATAAAACAGCGTTAAACGCAAAATTAACACTCAATTTATCTCATTCTGGTCTTTCTCAATGAAATGATAAAGATTGTCTCCAATTCTGTTCAATTCATGTCTGAAAATTTTCACTTATCACAAAGAATCTCTTACAAACCTTTGAACATGTGCGGCAAAGTGGTATATGTATGTCTGTATAAAGACATTTATATTATGATATGTATTTTGTAGCTCAATAATAATTAATCAATTAGTTTGAAGTACCATCCAAAAATATCCTGATCCTTAAATATAACTTATTTACATATTTTTAATGTTATCGATGATTAGTTTAAGTCTTTCATAACCTGGTGAGTGCTGTTGCCTTCTGACGACAGATAATATTTCAAAATTAATTTTCGTATATAGATAGTCATTATAAAAGTAATTTAAGACTACTGTATTTTACACATTACTATATATCGGTATATTTTCGCTCTTGCACCTTTTTATACGAATTGGCATCGTTTCGCCCTAAGGGAATTACATAAAAGAATTATATAAATGTAACAAACTTTCGCCCCAATCTAAATTCGCCCTTCCTTAACAAAGGGTGAAAACAAAACTTGGGGCGAAAATTTCCCGGTATACGGTATTCCGAACACGTCACAAATTAAAACCATCCACAATAGTTGTAGCAATATTCAGATCTTATGCGTACAATTAAAACAATATAAAAAACAGCAATAATTTACAACGTTATGAGCTAAGGACATAAATACAAAATCTTAGTTTAAGTAAATTTACAGCGACTAATATATGTTATGTCTGTATAAAATTTACACATGTACCAATAACCTTATAGACAGATAAACGTTTTCAATACCAGCAAAATGAAAGTTAGACACTTATTCTAACAAAAACAATAAGATCGCTAACACGTTAGCATTATTTACAACTATTAAAATTAATCAAAGAACAAATATGGCATCAAACGTATTTCCGTTGAAATAAATTGTATTTCGATAAAAATGATTAATTTTGTGTAGAATAATTAAATTCATAACAAGATTATTTATCTTAACTTGTATTGTGTAAAAACATGTTTGTAACCAGAAATTCAGGAGAATTTTGTATTTCTACATATTTCAACGAAGATTCATTTGATTCCATTTGTAAGTCTAATGCTAATGACAACACTATTAAGTAATAGCCAACTCTTAAACACAACCTAATATCGTATGATACACATTCTACCTTAACTTTGATTATCAGGTAGTAATCTTGGCAAATGTATCAGAATGCTGCTCTGTTTTCAGATAAAGAAAGATAACTTTCGCTATTTCATCTAAACCAAGTTTAGCTAGACACCTACTAAATATGTTTAAATGTCAGCTATTGGCTATTTTCTAATTGACATGACGTGACACTGCAACGGGAAGCGTGGGACAGAAAGATAGCTGCACCGCGACTAACATGTGTTAACAAAGTTAAAACTGTTTTGATAAGTATCTCCCTTGCCTTCAATAGAACGCTAATATAGGTATTTTAAAACTAGTATGCACAAATATGAGTTCGATCACTTCCAAATTATAGCTAGATTGTTCCAAACTGTAATTGTTGAATTTGAGATGTCACGTCGTATTTGGTTAAAGAGTTGCACTTTTTATATGTTTATAATCAGTCAAGTTCTAATGAATTATGTCCAAATAAGGAATGGCAGTTTATCAATAATAAATATAATACCCAACTACCGGCAGTGGAGGAGATAGGTGCCAATCATATCAAACGGACAACACAAATATTTCAATGTTTTGTTTTGTATTGCAGAATAAATAAATGTTTAAAATGCATAAAGAAGGAAAAATTATAATTACTCTCTGTGGTATAAATAATAAGATATTTTCTATTAAAACTAAATGAAGTTGCTGGTGAATACACGTATAGCATATTTTGTATTGCACTCAGTGTCCCAAATATCAAACAATAAATAAACTTATTCAAGAAGTTATTCCAGATTCAAACAAAATGCATCTTAATTTGTATACGAGACATATTACATCTTCTGAATGACTTCTAAACAGACTAAAACGTGTATTAATATCTGTTGAAATAATGTTAAACAATAAATGAATATTGGTCTTATAACACAGTTCATTATTTCCTTCATCGGCATTTGATTTCGTGACGTAATTAGTAAATTCACGATTTTCCCCTCGTAGATAATGGCAAATGCTGAGACATCTTGAATCGCCCGTGAATTGAAATTTATCATCAGATGGATCCGTTATTGACGACTGTCGCTTCCTACTTTCTTGACATCTTCAGCATATTGTTTTTAATGTTTTAGGGTATATTCCTTCAATACACGTATAATTAATCAAGTGGTTTGGACACAATCACTTGTCGATTAACGTTCATCGTTCATGACGTTATAAACGACATCATGGTGTATTAACGTTATGTACAACTGTCCTTTATATGTTTTATCTTAGATTCATCAAGTTCTAAAAGACATAGTTGATATAAAACACGATAAATGACATTTGTATGTCACCAACGAATTTCGTGCTGAATCTTTATATAGTTGCAGAGAGCTCCATCAATACATCGAATGTTGAGCCACAAATCGTTCACTGGTTTGCTAAAGCAGAAATGACTTAATGTTTTTCATTTCATGTTCATAAACATCCATGAAAATGGCGCGTAAGCAATATGTCAAAAGCATGTAATTGAGGTTGACATCAGCCACGTTTTGACTAGTAGCTAATCCGATATATTACAATCACAACAAGGAATATTTTAATTAAGTTTCTATTGCACTTTTTATGATCCCGGAATGTAAAAGCTATGATATTGATTACAATATTGACATCACAAGTCCATGGCCAACCTCGTAATTCATTGATTACATAAGTGACCCCACCAGTCAAAGGACGACCTCACAATACTCTGATGTTTTTTGACAGAATAAGTTTGTTTGATTCCACCATACATATAATGTGTCTTTTATAGAACGACATTAAGACGAATGAATAATCATCAGTGCAAAAGTATTATTCCATCTCTGCTTACACGACTCTTTAAAAGCTATGGAAACGTTGTCTTTGATATTCAAATGGAATCCCGGTCGAAGTGATGCATTTCTGTTTTACAACAGGAAAAATCCAGATACATTATCTATATCTTCGAAGTGGTAAAACCAACCGTCTGAACATTTACCTCGTGTTACACAAAGGTAAAGTCTATGTAGCCTTTGACCTCGCATTTTGATCGCTGTGACGTCATTGTGTAACCGTCGAATTCCTGTTATACTATAGTAAAGTCTTCAGTATATCCTTTGTCTCCTTTTTTCTTTCTTTGAGCAGAACTGCTGTCAGCAATTTCATCATCGTCAGGCACCGGTCGGTAATACCTACAATAAAGGTCAAGATTCCAACAACGTCTAATTACAATTTTCAACATATTTCGGAAGTTTTACAGCCTTTGCATTGGAGCGCACTTGTCACAAATTAAATTAGAAATGATTAATCAATTAAAATTGATGATTTTTAATAATCTCGAAAAATACCTTGCATGATTTTACATATTCTTGGTACTTAATCACTATATTCAATGCTTCGAATTTTCTATTCTATAAAGCTGTTGATCGACATCCTCACCTGTCCAGCAGACTGACTGCATCCTCGTCTTCTTCTGCCGGACTTGTCATTGACTGACCGGCGAGAGACATGACTAAGGGGCGGTGTTCGTCCGTTCCAGGTGTAGCTAATGTTGTATCATACCGGGTTCGCACATGTGGTGTGGTTCGACCTACTGCCCTTACACCTAGTGAATAATACCGAACATATATACATGAAGATTGTACAACCGACACTCAACTGAAAACACCTTTTAATGATCTTAAGTTACATACATTAGTGCAAAACAATCAATTAAACTGCATCATACAATGGTTTCGTCATTCTAGGACTTGTCATTGAACTAAGGGCCTAAACTTTGAAGCCTAAGAAGGCACTTGGGAAAATTCCAACGTGATCGAATGTAAAGTCAAAATCTAATGGAGGTTCAGTAGCCCCATAATTAAATACATTTTGTAACTCTCATACATCAGCTAATTTTAGAACAGCGTCAAGTACATGTGTATATTCTGAACTGTGCCACTATTCAATGGTAAAAACATGGCATATCATCCTACTTACAACTAGTAATACATTCCAAACGTATATATAACAGTATCTCACTTACACCCAGTAAACAATTAAGTGCAGAAGTGTCTATAGATGCTATGATTTCTGTTCTGTATCTGATGAAGTTTACTCTTTGTTTGTATTGGTGCTAATTTCTTCCATCTGTATAAGATATTGCTTCAGTCCTTATCATTCATGGATGATGTATGTGATTACCTTTTAGAAAATCCTGAATACTGACAAATCTGACCTTTGACATGCAGACCTTGACCCTAAACATTAATTGTTTTCAGAAAAAGATAACCCAGTCCGAGATTTTTATATCTGACTTTTTTCAGTTAGTGATTGCTGTTTACCTTTCTTCTGTTTCTCAGCTGCCTTCCGGTAGGACTGGTATGCGCCATCTAGCGGACTAGTGGAGTGTGGGGAGTCTCGCCCACCAAAAGTGTATGTAACCTCTTCACTGCTAGTGGTGCTGGTCCTACTATGAGTTCTGTGAATCACAAATTGATATTTCTAATAATACATGTTCATATAAAGTTTCAGTTGTATGAAACATCGAAACACAGTCCGAGATATCAACTTTGATGTTGTCCCAGGAAAGAAGATATCTATATGTAATTCAACTGAACAAGAAAGAAAAACAAATTTTACTGATTTTATTTTTACATTATTGCATTTAAAACCACACGTGTGTGTGTGTGTGTGTGTGGGGGTGTGTGTGTGTGTGTGTGTGAGGGTGTGTGTCTGTGTGTGAGGGTGTGTGTGTGTGTGTGGTGGTGTGTGTGGTGGTGTGTGTGTGTGTGGTGGTGGTGTGTGTGTGTGTGTGTGTGTGTGTGTGTGTTTGTGTGTGTGTGTGTGTGTGTGTGTGTGTGTGTGTGTGTGTGTGTGTGTGTGTGTGTGTGTGTGTGTGTGTGTGTGTGTGTGTGTGCAAACTTTTCTTTTTCTTTTACGACACTAACCTAGGTACGAATGCTGGAATGATTTGTCGCTTGGCAATTGTCCCACGCTGTTTACCACGGTGACGGCCACGTGTTCTGCGCGGATGGAACGTCTCGCGTGGAGCATCTGTTGTTTCACGATCCGTTGTGTCACTTTCTGCTTCCTTCTTCATGGAACGTTTCGGTTTGCCTTGAGCACCTGTATTTCAAGGAAGAGAATAAGCTTAATTTGGATTTGGTCATTTATTTCAAATAGGACAAATAATTCTTTAAGCATTGGTTTTTCTGGGTTTAGAGACGTAACAGAGATGTCGTATAATATTGATATAGACGTTTCATGTTATGATATTGAATCTTCAGTAACATTTTGTACATATGCATCACTACTAGACAAGGAGTTACTAAACACGAAAGAAAATGGAGACACCCACACTCGTATCCCGGGACCTCGCATGCCGCCTGTCTCTGCTCGTTAGGTTTTGGAGGAGACTGGGTGAACTGCACGATGCCGGGCTCTGTTGCGACCGAACTATCAGTTGGACCGGAGCTCGAATCCTGTGGAGACTCATATACCACGGGAGGGGGTGGATTCTTCCGTGCGTTCTCTAGAGCCTCCAACAGTTCGTCACGGCTGGAGGACACCGTCGTTACACTTGAGATCACACTATGTCTTTGACTTCCTGTGAATATCAAAAGTGACACATTATTCACTACGTGTAAGATTTCCTTCTTGTTAGGTTTACAATATACTCTATGGCTTACCTTTGTGTACTAATTATACTGTATACTAAATTATACCCTCTTTCTCAATGGAAGTTCAGCTAGAATGGATAACAAAAATATTTTCACGGATCACAGAAATAAGTGTCTTCATCTGCCTTCTTAAAGACTGCAACTGATGCTGAATGAAATCGACTGCGTACCTTTTTCGTCAGAGCTTCCGTGTGATCCTGATTTTGATTTTCCGTATGTACTGTGTGGTCTCGGTGGGCATTGTGTAAACAACGCATGAATCTGTTCTGCACTGGCGTATTTCCGGGGGCTCAATATCAACCCTATTGAACATAGATGGAACACTTCATTGTTTGCTTGCCTCACGTTTTGACAAATTTCATAAGAAATGATATAGAAACATCTAACAAGTCTACCCTAAACATAATAAACACAAGGTGCGTGGTTTGTAATTACATATAAAGATAAAGAGCAAATTTTGCAAAAAGAAATACCAGCTTTATCAAAGCATACATCATCAGTCATTTAATCTGTGATAGATATGTTTTCGGGGAGTAGTGCGTTTGATCTATAAGGATAAAGCGCTTAATCGATTCTGATTGATTAAATTGCATAGCAATGATTTCAATAAAATACAGCGGTTGTGCAAAGCAAAATTAAAAATGTATCTCAGATATACTTTTAGACAACATTGCTGCCGAAAAATACGTACCTTGGTTGTCATACCCGGCCTGTTTAGCACTCTGGTCTCTCATTGGTACCAAAGGAGGATTAGGGTCCCTCGTCTCATGTTCAGCTTTATGGAAGAACGGCACGTAAGGCTCGGATGGTGTAGACATCTAATGTTAACAAGAAACAGTATATTTGAAGTAATCGGACATTTATGCTTAGCCATTTTATATGTTTTTAAGCAGGGTACAAGGGGTTCTATTGGTATAGAATATCATGAAGGAGTGATAAGTGAAAATGTTATAATATAGAAATAAGGTTTGTCAGTGTTAACTATATCAACATTACACTGTCAGTAATGGGAGTGTGTCTGAACAATAGCAAACTAAGTTGAGGGTCAGTAAACAAACATTCCAATAGATATAGTTAAATATACATAGACATACAGTGATTATAAGTCTAGTTTATATCAAATCTTCAAAACTGTTCAGAAAAATTATTGTAGAAATAGCAATATTTGGACGAATATTTTAGGACTGACATTGGTACAATGTTACTAAGGGTAATCATCCGTCAGAGACAGCAGGGTTGATAAAATGTTTCAAGTGTTCTACATACACATTTCTGTGCCTGTGCCTTCTCCAAACTGATGTCGTCGAATTCCGGCAACATCATGTCATCGTTTCTGCCTGTATCATTCTTTTCCACCAACACTTGCTTCAGTTGGTTAAATGTGGCGTAGGGGTTGATGTTACCATCTTCGTCTGATAAAAGATAATTCCGAAGTCAAAATAAGGTGCTATTTCGATTTTATTCTAACATCACACCTGTGCAATTTTATTCCTAAAGAATTAACTAAAAACAACACAGCATCACTATTGACAATTCACGTATTAATGGTTATTAAACCTCCCACATGTTAAAATGATTAACTAATAAAATATTCATCCTGTATAGCAGTCTTGATAGGACCTATCTCAAAAATTCAAAATATAATAAATTTATGAATTAACATTACCTGTTCCGGACCTATCAAACGATCCGTTGTCGCTATTAGTTTTGCTGTTGTCATGAAGACCAAACCACGTGTGACTGTTCCCAGTGAGATTGTCGTCAGAGTTCAAAGAAATAAGAAGGTTAACATTTCTCTTGCCGAACGCCTCTGAGTTTCCACTGCTGCTGTCAAGGTCAAGGTTGAGACGTTTGTCAAGGTCATTCATCAATGACGTCTCTGCTGTGATGTCTCTTCGTAGATTTGAGGCATTTTCTGAAAAATGAAGTATAAAAAAATAATGTTTCATATCCCATTCACCTTATATTTTGTATCGTCAAGAGTAAGTAAACCTTCAAATTCAAGAAGGCCACAAAAACCTAATGTTTTGTTTTACTCAGGAAACCTTTTCGAACATTTAATTGTGAATCCCTTACAGGTGAAAGCAGCGTACTACAGTTTTTCTCTCCACCTATCTGTGTAATGTGTATATATACATATATATATATATATTAATTACACTGCACTAGGGGCTTTATTCCTTTAGGAAGTTTGGTTAAAATATAGCTCCACACACTTTAAAGGACCATTATACTTCAGGCAAATTTGAGTTTCATTGTTGTAGCGTCAAAATCAGAAGTTTCACTGAGACAAAGTATTGATGTAATAGACCAAACTTTCTTCTTACAGATCAGAGTAAAATGTTGGTATGAATATAACTTTGATTTAAGATCCCGGACATGACTGATCCTAAACTGGAGATGTTTGCTACACATCCAGGACATAATTTGATTGCGCACAAATAAAATTACCTACTGTCAGTATTATATGTTCATATCAGTAAGTATCATTCAATAACCCCATGTCTACCTTTGATATGGTGCATCTCCCTCCGTCTCCTACAGTAGAGCAGTATGCCAACAGTCATAACACACAGCGCCACTATCCCCGCACAAAGAGGGATAATTATATGTGCCTTCTCATAAAAGCGTGTTTCCATTTTTCTTGCAACATATATCGGCATAATTGTACCTAGATTAAAATAAAACAGCTTTAATGTACAGCTAATTAACCACTTTGTATCTTATTCTCAATACCTACAACTAACGTATAAATGGGTCGAACAACTAACTGTACATCGCCAGAAAGTAATAATGCTACCGTTACCATTTCCCAATTTGAAAAAAAAAATATGTGACTCAACGATGTTATGCAACTGTATTTATATTTATACTGTTAGATACAAAGTTTACAACGGATTTTTACATTCAACTATTATTACATGTACAAAAAACTATAAACTTTATTTATTTTACAACAATTGCGAAACAAGTTATTTCAAATTTTACTGATCACTCTTGTTTGCCAGGATGTAACCGCGCAAGGAGTCTTATTGTGGGAGGAAACCAGAGTATCCGGGGAAAACCCACGTGGTCGGGTAGGTGACGCTTACGTCCGTTCCAGGAGCCGGACGGCAAGGTCAAAGGCGAGTGCGTTACCACTGCGCCACCCGACCACCCCAGCGTGGTGGACATGATGTACATAGTATCACTTCTGTCTAAGGAATGCCATAAAGACCCAATGTAATACACTAAATGTAAAACACATACTTACTTCCATGATAGGTAAGGGTGGCAAACTTCAGGTGACTTTCTGTTGAACCCGCGTCACTGTGGGCCGTAACAACCATCACGTACCACGTGGCCGGATGTAGGTCCTGCACTGTGAAGCTCGACTGGGCAAAGCAATTCAAAATACACTGTCATATTATTTAATACATGGACAAATTGGTTATTCTTCTATGATAGGAGGGCCATTTCATATCATAAGGACGTACAGAGGCGAGTATATGTATGTGATAATATCATCAGGTTTCATATCACATTAGCTTAACAAGACACAACCAAAATGATGAACGAATTTGAGGGTTTATGTCACACTGATATTTGGATACCTTTGTGTCTTTGCTATTACGTTTCGCGAATAAAACGACAAAATCTCTATCTGATTTCTGCGCTGATTTCAAATTTTCATTACAACTCTAAACCCATTGATACATACCGTGTTTCTGTTCACACTGTTGGAAACCTCGACAACTTCATCATCTCCCCAAACCTGGTATTTAACAGAGTAGAATCGGATTGGGCAACCGGAAGTTTTCCATGACGTCATGTCAAGATCAACTGAGGTTGTATTGATGGATCTAAGAAGCATGCTTTGAGGAGGCATGATAGGAGCTGTAATAGGGACGAGTACGTGTCAAAGTAAAAATTCAATTCTGCAATAAGACAGAATCTGACAACGACAATTTAACGAATTATGATCAGATATATACATCAAAAGCACACGACCTGCAAAGCTCATCAAGAGTAAAAGTTCAAATTCAGATTTCAATATTTGATGAATACGTTCCAAATAACACAACGTTTTAACAGGATAGGATCCATTTTACGTAAATGCGGCCAAAATCAATCCCTTCAGCACCCTATATGAGAAGAATCAGAAGCTGTGACAGTATTTATTTCATTATCAATATAAGGAGATAGCTACACAGATCAGAAACGAATCATCAGCTGTAGTTCACGTCATCTGCATGCATAGGGATGCAAATGGTTTGATTCTAGAGATGCTTACTGGATCCGTTTGTTTGGACCTTCATCTGCGCACTGTTAACACTGGTGCCAAGTCTGTTGAAGGCGGATATATAGAACCTGTACATTGTACCACAGAGTAGAGCGGAAGCTGTATACGTCCTGTTGGAGGCCCCAAGTCTCATTTTCCGCCATGACTCAAATTCCTTCTTATAAAACAGTTCAAACCCTAGAAAGTAACAAAGTCAAAACGATATCTGATTTTGGATTAATGTTGTTGAGCAAGAGATATATGTTAAATTGAAGGATGTTTTCCCTCTAATACCCGGACTTAGACCAACATATGAATGGCATACAAACAAACGTGATGACGAAAAAAACATTCCACAGCGATAGACGTATGCGAATAAAACACTCAGAACAATATTCGAGTACTTTTAAATTACGTGTAAATAACATGGTGTTTCAAAGAATTCAGAAAAAAAATGTACTCGCCTGTTAGATCTATCTAATCTAACCTCTGATGAAATAAACCTTTTCAATATGTATGACCGAATTCCCGGGAACGTACTAAACCTTTCTCATTAACAATATATATACATAAATGGTAATTTTACTTTAGAAATTATCATTTCATTAAATGAAATCCATTACAATCCGTATATGTTCGTCGAAAGTAACAAAAGCTGTGTACCTAATTTAGTAACTTAATCATATTATCGCCAAGCTCTTTATCTGAATATTAACATTTAAACTGTTGGGGTAAGAATTAAAAATAGATTTTATAATTTTTTTTATTTTTCTGACAATTCAATAAAATTATTAATGATTAGCTGAGGTAAGCTGACATTGTTAAAAGATATTGATTGAGTTTTTGTCTCACCTTGAATAGGACTTCCGCCATTACTGCTTGACCTCCAGTTGACCTGTATTGTGGATGACGTAGTAGCAGCGATAAACATCTTCGGAGGCTTAGGAGGAGCTAAAAACAAAATGTTATCTTTATTTAATAAAAGCTAAGAAAGTGGTTATTTTAACTTTATGTAAAATATATTCGTAATTGGTTTAACAAATTGTATAATCAATTTTCATTCATCTTTTAAACGTTACTTCTCGATCTTAAACAACTACTTTAATCTCATACGTTCTAAATAAATTTGATGCAATGAACTTTAGTCTTATATATCTCGTAAGCGAAATTACAATATATGTTTATCTGAGAGAGTTTAAAAAGCTGGACCAATGTACGCAAAACCACATTTTATATTATCGTACATTAAAGTATACAATAAACATTTGTATTTTCACCCATGCAATTATGCATGCACATATATAATACAGAGTTTACGCATATATATATATATTAAGTAAATTGTGTATCATGCTCCTAAAAAGAAATATAAAGGAATATTAAAGTTACTTATGAAAGTTAAAAAGATCTACGTAAATTGGAGACTGAAAGAAAACACGGGGGATTACAGTAATCCGTTAATATGAAACGAAAAAACATGCAGAAAAAGGTTGTGGAACATTTTCATCAAGTCTAAATATATATGATATTTCTAAACTGTAAAAGATGGATTTGCATAAAAGGGAATTCTTTTAACTTTTAATGACTTTGGCCATGCATTCCGCTGGTCATGCATATTCATATTATTTAAACTTTGTGTTGTTTTCTTCTGAAAGTAATGTCTATTTCATCTACTTAAAATAGTATCGACAAGGGAAATACGTAAGTATATCTGGTTGATAATAGTGTTATGTTTCTCTCTGCAGTGAAACAATAACACTTTTCTTCTTTTTTTCCTTATCTTACAATTTTGAAAAATAACACCTTTCCAGAATATTTCCTATAAACGATTGACCAATGAGAAGCCTGCTACAAAGTTACAAAATATAAAACAAGTGCCTGATACAAAGTTACAAAATATAAAACAAGTACAAAAAATCTACTATAACAGCGTTTTCAGTAATTGGTAATATATTTTTTAAAAACTATTGTTTATAATTGTCACTACGATGAGAGCAACATATACACAATCTATTATAAAGATTTTAAAATAATAGTTATGAAATATAAGAAGTGACAGTTTTATCAAGGAGACATAAATGAACAAGAATACTGTTGTACAAATATGAAAAAGGATTTGTTCAGGATAGGGCATTATTCTGATGGTACAGTTTCATACACACGTGAGTCACATAATTAACATATCAAATCCCGAACGCTATGTATCAGCTGATACAGATAGTATTAACTGTTGACTGGTCTTATGAAAACCCATGCGAAAACAATACCATCAGAGTTGAAAGACGATTTGGAAATCATTAATAGAGAACGAAAAAGATTAAATACTATTCAGCTAGGTACTACAGCAGTATTACTCACTTCCAAGCTTTTCGCTCACTGATGTTAGTAGCATTCAAAGAAATATAGGGAATAAAACTACCATATTTCAAACAAATCATTTTTAGTTTTAGCTCGTCCTCTGAATCAATACTGGTCTTATATTACATATTTTCGTTTCGGATCCTTTTGCAGTTATAGCTTCTAAGATGTTTTCAAAAACGTTATTTACAAATAATTACAAAAAGTTAAAATGTATCTAGTATCATTTCTTTGTTTCTAATATCATAATCCGACATGAGATCAATAAGATAACAAGAGATGGTGACTCCATCTTGAACAATACATGTCCACGGTGTAGCATTTAATTCCTGCAGCAAATCTTGATAACGTTATTAATGAATGTTCGTATGAAGAGTTGACATTGTAACAATAAATATATGTTGTGAAAGTATTTTACGTTTTTCACAAATTTGTAATCAGTTTCATTTCAATTATTAAAGTCTATGCGAGTACACCATCATATATACATCTTGATTACAATGCATATTTAGTTCACTATCAAGACAATCATTTGTTGTTGTGCAAGGTACAAAAGCAGTGAGTTCATAATAAATGTTAAGTGTTCTTGTCTTTCTTACCTTGAACACTTATGGCAAACACAATGGAATCGGATCCAAATACATTTTCAGCCGTGCATGTGTAGTTAGCAGCGTCCCCACCAACAACAGATGTTATATGTAGGGAACCATTTTGTAATATCTGTATTCTGTCATTTACAACCACCTCCCCGCCACTGAAAGCAAGGTTAGCAGGTCAAATTAATTTTCACATTGATGCATTATTTCAGATATGATAGCTGGTGGTATGTCTGGCGTTCATTGATGGAGACGGATATTATGAATGGACAAACACTCATAACATCCTTTAGTGTGATCAGTTTACACTTGACAGAGTTAGAGGCTCTCAAATTAAACTATTAATAGTAAAATAGGATGTCATATAACCTGCTTTTGAATAGGATGTCATATAACCTGCTTTTGAATACGGGCCTTTCAAATGAAAGGACCATATTAGGCAATTAAAAAAAATGCAAAGAAAAAAAAGAGTAGTTAAAACATTTTGGGAAAAGGATAGGAAAAGTATTCTTACGCAAAAAATAAAATATTTCCATAAGTATGCATTACAGAGTTTTGAAGACAAATTATACTATATTGAGCTATATAAACAGAAACAAAAAAATACCGCATCATCCACTTCACCGTTGGGGCAGGATCACCGACCACCATACATGGTAACGTCACTGGGTGTTGCCATGGTATCGTCAATACGTCCGAGAAACTGGCTATCCTTGCTGCCACTAAACCGTCATAATGCATACATGATTATTTAAAATGTTCATTATAGTGAAACAACGATGCAGTTGTATTGGATGCACTTTTCATTGAAACAGTAATCAAATTTTACTGTGAACATTTATGAAAGTCAAAATAACAGCTTTATAATCATAACGCCAGATTTCAAAATTCTGTAGATCTGTTCATTAATTAATAAATGCGGCAATTTAACCGCCAACTTATGTAAATAAATTGAAATACTATTTCTATTTCTGAAATCAAAACAAAAGAAAAAAAAATAATGTAAATATCCAATTTAAAAAAACAATGCTTCATAAGAAAACAATAATGAAAATAATCTACCCTTTTCTAGAGGAGAAGCCTTAGCAACATGAGTTCGTTCCCCTTCACCAATTCTTGTGGTTGAGGATATTTGCACGAAGACGTCCATGTTAACAGGAAGGTCGGACATTAGAAATGAAGTCAAGGACGGGGACACGTCAAGTGCGACCTCCTAATTGCAAAAAATAATTATGAACATGCGTCAGTAACACTGTGATGTTGTCTTTGCGCTATCATCATTATTATACATTTTTGGTGGTTATTTTTATTTGATGATTGAATGTATATTTATGTTCACGAATAGGAAAAAATGTTTAAAAAATCACCCACCTCTAGTGTCGTCTTTAGAATGTATTAATCAAGAAATAGCATTTGTAAATTGAACATCTTAATTGTATAACAACTGCTGATACTTTAATAACCCTTTTATTTTATTAACAGTAAGTGTTTGCTCTGTTTGAATATCATCTGTACGGTAACATTTTTGTAACCATTTAAAAAGGGGATATTTTTCGTTGTTAATAAGCTTCAATTTTAAGCTGCCTACCCCAGATGTGTCTGATCCATTCCGCACGTACAGTGTATACCTAGTAAGTAAACCGTTACAATGGAGAGGAGGCTTCCATGCCACCAAAACGGAACTGGAATTGACAGGTAGGACTTTGATGTTTGCTGGTCTCTCAGGTACTGTAAGAACGAAAACAAAGCAATCAGTATTAGAAGTTGAAAACAAAAGTGATTTAACCGTTTATGCAAATATTTGTCATAAGTCATCCATGTCCTATATGCCTATTTATGTGCGATTTGTTTTAAGAGCACAACCAATCAAGAGAATAATGATAGCCGTGAACAAGACTTTTATATTTGGAAACGATAAATCATGAACCTAAGACCTATTAAAACCATAATTAACAGAACGAAAATTTCGTTTGATTTGATAGAAATGCGGAGTGAATTAAGTTTAAAGCGTGTGGTCAAGACATATGACATAATTATTTATATCAAAACAGTTAAATGATTAGATATAATTGCTCTCATATGATGACCACGTTGTTGTTACGTGACTTACCATCCTCTTGAGTTCTAATGTAGATGGGTTCACTCCTTACGCCCTCGCCCTTCCTGGTGAAGGCCAGTACCTGAAGACTGTAGTTAGTATACTTCTGTAGGTTACTGATAGTCACCTCTAATTTAGACGAAGTCTGGATGTTAGCGTCACTTTCATCTGGAAACAAACCCGTATGAAACCCGTTATCATGGGTTAAAGCTATCCCAACAGTTCCCCGCAGAAACGGGTAGGCAGTTCATTAGAACTAATGGCAGGCTTTAGTGTCAGCACAGGTATACGGTCGTAACACTGATCGTATAAGGAGAAATTATGTCGATATGAAGTTACAGGTGTTTAATATTCATTAGTTCCATTGCTGTTTCCCGTATGGGAACGTGACATCACTTACTCTGATTGACCAATGTTATTTTGACAGATGGGACCGTTGAAGCAGAATGTCTTCCCAAAAGGTGATTTTAAATCTTCCTTTTTTCAACTTTTGCCCTAGTTTTGTCGAGTTTGATTTTGAGGCAAACAACTGAAACTGCTCGTGACATTAATATCAGGATATATTCGAGATTCGATGTCTTCTTGTGTTTGTATTTCGAACACGACAACGACAGGGACTCGACATTTGAAAATGCGATAAGACGATAACTAGGCTTAAACGAACTCTCGATATTGTTATGAAATCAATTCTCACTTCTTCTTCAAAATCTATAAAAGGAATAAGATATGGTAAACTTGCAAAACGACAGCACCTCCAAGTTGGTGAGTCAAAACCATCAAACGCTGAATCCTTCCTCAACTTGTGATTACTATAACAAAACTGTACTTCGATCTCAGATTTAAGAACAAACTGAGGGATTTCCAGTTTCACGGGGATGTGAACTTTAACCACGTACCTTCATCTTTTCTGACAGGTTTGTACAGGATACGGTAGCCTTGTAGGATCCCGTGCAGTGTAAACAGTGGAGGCGGAGACCAGATCACTTTGATGGACTGTGAGTTTATGGCGTTGGCCTGGACACCCTGAGGAGGCTGACTAGGCACTACAAAACAGTATAGTCGTTGTAAAAACAGATATTATGGAATTATCAAGATAAATATTTGAATTATGCATCACTGAAGGTGCATTTTTTAAGTTTTCGCGTTCAATGATTAAGAATAAGTTTAGTTTTGAAAGTATGTCTACACACCATCTTCCAGGGTGAAGACACTGTAGTCGATCGACTTCGGGCCCTGGCCCATGTCGTTATATGCCTTGATGTGCACAGTATACTCCGTGAACTTTTCCAGATTGTGGATATCCAGGACGGGTTCGAACTCTCCCTCGACTGCCTTGGTGATGTATATAAATCGGGACGGACTGCTTGTCTCCTTGTATCCGATGTAGTAACCCTTGATTACTCCGTTCCTTTCGGATAGTTTGGGAGGCTAAGGGAGAGGTGATAGCAATGTTTAAACGTTTGAAATAACTGGCTTCGAATGATTGTGACGTACAGTTACATGTACACACCACAGAACTGTATAGTATTTCCAATTTTTTAGCAATACACAGTAACGTTGCTGTTTAAACATGATAGGAGATTTAATGAATAAAAACCAAAAGAGGATGGGTTCACTATCATAAAACACTTGTACAAAATAATCCTCTTATAAACTAGAAAAAGCTTAATGACATCATAATGTTCCTTCTCTATGTACTAAAGTGAACTACGGTGAGTACAAAGAGAACACCCATTCGAGATAAACAATCTCACCATCCATGAAATTTTAAGAGCTTCTGAGCCAATTGCCTTGATCTGTATTTTTTGGGGTGGTCCGGAAGGAGGTTCCTCATCCATGGAAACCGATATCTGATCGCCGGGCTGTCCAAATCCGACAGAGTTATTGGCCCTGACTCTTACGTAGTAAAGGAAGGCTGGGTGAAGGTCACTGATGACGGCTGTCAAGAACTTGGCCTGTACAGAAACATTGGGGAGGACTCCCTGCCATACACCTACATAAAACATAATTTATACAAACAGGGTAATTCAATTCAATCATGCAAATTTCTTACAAATTCATATAAATACAGATATAACAATAGTATTGACAATATCAAATACTGTAAGCAGTGCTTTATACATTTTCTGCGGACATGTAACATATTAAAGCACTGACAACTATTTTGGATATAAGTGCCGTTATGAGACATCGTAATGCATAAAAAAAACTACGCATAATGTTATCATATGCGATCTTGATTTAAACCTTAGGAAAATCATTGTCTTGCAAGGGTAAAAATATTGCTTTTTTATTTGATTTTAGTAACCTGCTATTGTTTCAGGCTGAAACAATAGCAATATTAATACTGAAATATCGTTTTTTATCAGAGTATTATCATAATAACCAGTTGTTCAAACTTTTGGACGTGAATACACTGTAAACGTACATGATTTGTGGCTAAGAATAACTATATAGCTGTGTTTACCTGAAGAGTTTATGTACTCGATGCTATAGTAGAGGAGGGGCGTGTTGCCATTATAGGGTTGTGACCAGGAAACTGTCATGTTTCTACTCGACACCTTGACCAGAGTGAGGTTGGCCGGTGGTTCAGGGGGTTCTGCAACAGATAAATAACGTTTTAGAAAATAACAAAACAGAAAATATCAAACAACTTTAACTGCAAATAAACTACGAAGGACGTGATATTTCAGGTTTTATTTTACAGATAAGACTCAATATGGTAATTATTACAGAAATCCAATACTTCGCCTTAACTATGTTTTTGCAGTTGCATGTTAAAATGTAGAACTCGTGTCTGATTCACCAGAAGCAATCAACAGAAAGCAAATGTTCAGAAACTTAAGACAGAAACCATCATAATGAAGATTAAATTGAATTGTCAAAATCAAAATTTTTAAAAATATATTCATGGGATCTCGGGAGATATGAAAATGATGTACCATTTAAATCACCTGCAGTTGCAACCATGTAAAGAAATCGATATATTTATTTCTATTTATATATAATAGATATACCAACACATCATAAGATGTGTTTACCTAGGACAGTGAGTCTCATCGACTGCACGCCGTTCCCGAACTTATTTTTGGCGAAGCAGACATAGAAGCCTGTGTCCGCTCTCACAGCAGGATGTAAGGCGAGTGTGGATAGTTTTCCTCTGGTAGTACTGACCGTCTTCATGTCTCGCCTGTTAAACAAATCACATATACATTACTTAATCTTACGAGCAACTAATATATTACAGATAAGGGTTAGACGCAATAAGATTTAGAAAGCACGTGCAGTATAATTTAATTCATGTTAAAGAAACAGTGTGCAGTCAAATTTCGCTATTTCGACCTGTGATAACAAGAAAGAAGTTTTCTCCACTACAGGCCAAATCTTCCATCTTAGTAGTGATTATATTATTTCTTTAATGTCGAAGTCGCAATTTCGAATTTTGGCTGCATTTCTCGACCACCAACTTTTGTAATGGGTGCAGCTTATCAACACTGTTACCCATGTACGTTTGAGAATGAAAATGGTGAAACAGAACTATCAATGCAAATTATTTCCCCAAATCATTTTATGTTTTCAGTTTACCTTGGATTAGGTAGAGTACTTATTTGTTGGCCATTGAAACTCCATGTGACAGCCAATGGTTTGTCACCAATTGCTTGACAATCCATAGTGATATTGTGATCCCGTCGAACTGTGTAATTCTTCATATGACTGTCGAACCGGGCAGGGACTGCAAGTACAAAATGTGTCCTGAGTATCAAATAGATATTTACATACACTACCCCAGCAGTCATCGTTATCGGTAAGTGTGAAAGAGATCAACAACAATTCTAAAGGTAAAAAGACAACACAAGGAAAAGGGACTGGTAAAGCTAAATATATCTAAATAATTTTGATAAAACGGTACCAATATTTCCAAGTTTAATTCAAGCTTTAAAGGTAGAGTAAAACTTAAACAAAGAACTTTTTAACAGAAAATAAGCTTATATTATTAATGAAGGAAAATTTCATCAGGAATAATTAAAAAAAATTAATTGTATCGACGGCAAACGTGATGTTAGTTTAAAGCATTGTTAGGGTAAAATTCATGATAAACAATGACAGAATTTAGAGATGGCAATGACTTTATTAATTTAGATCACGTGATCAAAGTTTGTCTAGCTACACGATAGGAACTGTTGATATATTAATTTTTTTTTTTTGCGGAGAAAATGTTTTCAGACTTACTATGGACAGTTAGAAAGATGACTTTACTAAGACCGACTCCAACTCTGTTGTCTGCGTGGCAGAGGTAGTAACCATGGTCCGATTCTTCAGATTCTCGGATGATCAATGTCCCGTTGCTAAGCAACTGCATCCTGTCGGTAGCATTCTCGGCGTCATCCTTCAGATACTCCAAGGCCATGTAGTTACCAGGTTTTGTACCTGGGATAAGTAATAGGAACAGGTAAATTTATTTTTTTAAACTGATAAGAGACATTTCTTTCTTCCTGTCATTCGGAACCGAAGTTATGCTTGGTAAGACAATATACAGGAGAGGGCTATTTCTAAATGTAAGTAAAACTTCACTGCTACATTATTTAACAATCAGGGCAATGCTTACCTAATGTAATGATTAACCTTCCTTTCCGTTGAAGAGATCGATATTTCTACCACAATAGTGATATTTTCGAACGTATCTGACATTTTATTTAATTTTTGCAATTATTAATTGTAATATTGTTTTCTCTGATTTGCAAAAATAATATTCTCTGATATGCAAAACTGTCTAATATGCAAACCATTATTCCAGATAATGTTTGTAGAACTACTGGTGGTTATGTTCTGTTACCACGTGATTCATCTTAACATGAAATTGTAAACAAACGCTTAGTTACCAGCTGCTTTCATCCACATTATGTAAGGACTAGGCGTTCCAGCAGTAAGACAATCCAACGCTACCGTTCCCTCGAGGATTACAAACGAATCTTCGGGCTCAATGATCCAACGAGGTGGCACTGAAATATACATGACATACTATATAGGAAACGAGGAAACAATATCTTTATAAAAAGAAAATTATGAGTGCTTTCTCATTTGGCAGAAATTTTACTGAAAGACTCTCTGAAATACATTTTCAATGTTGTTTTAAATTTGGGGAAAAATAAAATACTTTGAAATTGTATTTGAAATGGAATCAGCGAAAAGGGAATTCCATATGTATGGTTTTTAAGTATAAAATTACAGAAAAGGAATATTTTATTACACAGTAGATTTAAATCTGAATATGCGATATCCGTAACTTGTCCATAGTTTGTTTTAATTATTGATTTATTAACGATTTATCTCAATTTTATCAAATACAATATTTTCTTCAAAGAGGAATTAATTGTATGATGGAATTTTAAATTTTCACCAACTCTTCTTTCATAGGCTTGTGACAATTTATCGTAAAAATCAGAAATCTATACAACACGAAAATTAATATTCTGACAACTTTTTCAATGAATTACCCAAACAATTAGTAAGTAATATAATACCAAGGCTGATAAACCATACCGTCCACGTGAAGAGGAGCTGTGAAGTTGACTCCAGCCGCGTCATTCTGAGCCTGACAAGTGTAGTTACCGTTATGTTTGGGAGTAACATCACCGATAGACAACATACTACTGTAACTTCCAACCGTCTGTCAAATACAAACAAGTCATGGTATGATTTAATTTTACAAAAGACAATGTTTTTCACTGCCGTCCCGGCTGTCCAGTAAAACAAAATACATATCAGCAGCAAAATACATAAGATTTCATCTGATGTATTATAAAATAACAGTGAACCAACCGTCTTTGTGATTTGAAATATAACAAGAAATTTAATATGTAGAGTAAATGAATTGTGAACAATTGACACGTATAGAACGAAATCACATGAAAGACATTTTCCCTGTAGCAAGTCTGTAGCTTGCAAGAGTTATCTTTCTTACTGCCCTTGCTCAAAACCGTGTTTCCCTTACATTTACACCACTCCCTCCTTCAACTCTGTTTCTCAATATTTTACCGTGATGGTGATTCCCATGTCTGGAGGAATTTCCTCGCCGTCCTTTGTCCACTTAATCTGTAATGGCTGGTCACCACTGCTAACGACACAGGACACAACCACACGGTCACCCTGCTTCTTGCGCGGAAAGTTGAACGGATCAATCTTCGGTGGCTCTGTGAATCAAAATTTAAATAAACAAAACAGACTCTGTAAGGTTCTACTAACCGTTAAATATTCAGCAAAATAACACATTAAATCATTAATACGGAAAAAAAAACAGTTTACGATTCTCATCTCTACAATAATTGGTAGACCGGTTTGTTGACTTTGTCTAAGACATGTTACGATGTTTGAGGGTGTACTCACCAAGCACGGTAATGTAGAGGCTGCTGCCATTGCCCTGACCATCACCATTCTTTGCGGTACACGTGTACTTTCCGATGTCCTGATACTTTTGAACCTTCTTTATTAAAAGAGTTCCATTGACGACATCTTGGAGATGATTTCGAGGAAGGACGAAACCACCTAGTCAACAAGCAGACACAGTTTACATAAATCACAAGTGTAAAAAACACTTTAAATTCCAACCGATTTCCACCAAGTTATAGCAAATATGTAATATTCCGACATATTTCTACCCAGCTATAACATATATATAATATTCCTCCAGATTTCAAACCAGCTATCGCAAATATGTAATATTTCGCCAGATTTCAAACCAGCTATAACAAATATGTTATATTCCAACTGATTTCAACAATGCTATAACTGATAACATTTTGTTTTGACCTTTTACCATATATAGTATAAAACTTCGGCAGGAAACGCAATGATAATTTACGTAGAATCCAAATAATGTCATGCCCCAATAAGGGAATCGGGTTAATGATATATAAACCATTTAACATTTATATCTTCATTGCATAATGAAGTTAGATATCCTGCAATACGATCGTGATGCCGAGTCTAAAACATTACCCATTATCTTATCGATAACGTGTGGTAAAGTGAATAATAGCTTGGTTTAGTATCTGTTAATTACTTTATCAATTATCAATTTATGTAACTTAGCTGATATCAGTCACTGGTAGACAACAAATGTGTATTGGTGTGTGTGTGTGTGAGGGTGTGTGTGTGTGTGTGTGTGTGGATGTGTGGATGTGTGTGGGGGGGCCAGGGGGGTGAGGGTGTTTGTGTGTGTGCTCGCGTACGTGTGTGCGTGTATGTGCGTGCATGCGTGCGTGTCGGTGTGTGTCAGTGTGCGTGACGGTGTGTGTATGTGTCAGTGTGTGCCTGTGTGTCAGTGTGTGTGTGTGTCGGTGCGTGCGTATCGGTGTGTGTGTACGTTCGTGTGTGCGTGTGTGTCAGTGTGTGTGTGTGTCGGTGCGTGCGTGCGTATCGGTGTGTGTGTGTACGTTCGTGTGTGCCTGTGTGTCAGTGTGTGCGTGTCGGTGTGTGTCAGTGTGCGTGTCGGTGTGTGTATGTGTCAGTGTGTGCCTGTGTGTCAGTGTGTGTGTGTCGGTGCGTGCGTGCGTATCGGTGTGTGTGTACGTTCGTGTGTGCCTGTCTGTCAGTGTGTGTGTGTGCGTGTCGGTGTGTGTCAGTGTGCGTGTCGGTGTGTGTATGTGTCAGTGTGTGCCTGTGTGTCAGTGTGTGTGTGTGTCGGTGCGTGCGTGCGTATCGGTGTGTGTGTACGTTCGTGTGTGCCTGTGTGTCAGTGTGTGTGTGTGCGTGTCGGTGTGTGTCAGTGTGCGTGTCGGTGTGTGTATGTGTCAGTGTGTGCCTGTGTGTCAGTGTGTGTGTGTGTGGGTGTGTGTCGTATGCGGTGTGTGTGTACGTTCGTGTGTGCCTGTGTGTCAGTGTGTGTGTGTGCGTGTCGGTGTGTGTCAGTGTGCGTGTCGGTGTGTGTATGTGTCAGTGTGTGCCTGTGTGTCAGTGTGTGTGTGTGTCGGTGCGTGCGTATCGGTGTGTGTGTACTACATATCATACCTTTAGACCACTTGATTGACTTCACTGGGTAACCAGCAACATAACACCTGATGGACAATGGTTCGCCGGCCGTAGCGGTCAGATTCTGCATCTTACGCACATACGGGATGCCTAAGATTTGGAAAAGAAAGCAAGACAATACGTAGCTGAAATACCAGATGTCGTTAGAATGCGCCATATCCACATACTACTATGTATAAATCTTATATAATCAGGCCCCACTTGTATAAAACATCTCAACTTGAGATTTCCTCAAGTCGAGATTTTCCTCAGCTGATATCTCCTCAAAAACGGCTTGTATAAAATTTCCTCAAGGAACAGGAGGAAGGCATCGGCTAGGATGTCCTGAAATTCCTTGAGGAATTTTCATACAAGATATTTTCAAGGAGATATTAGCTGAGGAAAATCTCGACTTGAGGAAATCTCAAGTTGAGATGTTTTATGCAAGTGGGGCCAGAATATTAATCATAATATTTTACTCTCAAGAGATAATTCATACAATATAAAGCATATGTACTTATGCTTATAATAAATATTAATAATACTTTTCATCATAAGAGAAAAAGCACAGAACATAAACCATTTGTAACAATGTTAATACAATTGTGAAATCATTTGTTTTTATCATAAGAGAAAAATCACCCGGTGTAAAACATATGCACGAATGTTAATAAAATTGAGAAATATTTCGTTTATATCTTGGGAGAAAAATCACAAAGCATATGCACTTTTACATCGAAAGACAAAAATTTCAATAAGATATATTAACAATTTAGTGAAAACGATATTGCATGTTTCGAACATAATACATTTAAGGGTTGAATCTTGCTTTGGTCGATTGCATCGGGTGATGAATTGAATGGCCCTTGAGACAAATTCAATGAATGGCAAAGCATTAAACATGTGTAATCGTTCTCTCCCCATACAAAATCAGTAAAGGATGTATTCATACGCCCAGATCAATGTTAATCTTGTCAAATTCATGGAAAACTGAAACAGACTAAATTTGTTAGTTGCTAGTCGAGTCAAACTAGAAAAGAAATTGAAAAATAATTCCTTATTGTGCACCTTCAATCTACACTATTCATTTATCAATATGCTATGAAGCCGCGAGGAGAAAATTATTGGCGTCCCTATAAACCCTTTACAGATATCTGGTCTAGTATCCAGTAATGAAAACGCGTGTGTCGTCATAGTGTCTTTATATCTCATACGAACTCGCCGGTATGATTAATTTTCGCCCGTATGTTTATGTTTTGGTCTCATGAACATGAAACACAAAATGTACATAAAGAGCACAATCGAATTATGTCAGTTGACAAGACGGCTCAAACATCTACTTGTGTTTATTCCTAAATATATTTACAGGTGGTGTACTTATAGCGAGTAATTAAGTTGGCTTGCAATGTGTTACAGCTTTATGTAAAAGAATCGCTTGTAGATGACCGTTTGCACGTGGTGACACATAGTTACCAGGTAATCTATGTTGATTATTTTATATATCGTCACAGAGTGTGAACCATAATCGACGATTTAGTTTACTGTTTGTTTTACGTCCTATCAACAACACAAGTCATTTAAGGACGAGTCAATCGTGATTGGTGGAGAAAAGACGGAGTTCTTGAAGATGGCAATTGCGCCAGGTATGCCAATCCCATTCTGATGTTTAAAAATATATAAGAGTTCGACCATTGTAAGTGAATAAAAAACGAAATTATCGGAACAGAAAGGCAAAACTTTTTTCAACTAGATATCTGCTCCATCTGGGTATTTTGTTTATTTTGAATATTCTGAGAATTAATTGACGAAATCGCACACGACGCACAGTGTCACAACAGTTTGCTTTAAACAGATCGAGACGACCTCCATCACAAATCATTGTCCCGACACCGTTATCGCCTCAACATAACAATATGATAGATTAGTTCGCGGGCGATCGGGTTCGAACACCGACCGATAAGAGGGCGAAACATAAAGAAGGGTTGATTAATTACTATGATAAGGTGATGGCACGTTAACTTGCCATTTGGTACTTTTTATGAGATTACAGACGCCATGTTTATGTGGAATTCCCGCGATTTCTCTTCCAATGACAAAAATCACACTGAAAGTCACCGAACTTGGTTATCGCACATTTGTGATGGGACCAGGGGAAGGGACACGAAAATATTTCTAAAGTTTTCTACAATGGTTATGTAATCGGCATCCTGCTAAATGCTACGATTTATTGTCAATACTATGAGAATCAAACCTTCATTATTTTGCTTAATTCAAACTGTTTGGTCAAAAAGGTGAGGTTGCGACATATTATCCTTTTCGTTGCCCTATCCCCCCGTCGGGAGCCTCAGCACGATAAGGCCACGTCACCACGTCAATGATTTGTTACATAACTTGATCACATTTAGTTTTTTTTGTAGCAACGCAAATTGTGTTTTTATAACTTTTTCCAGATCCAGTTGACATGACAGGGAAAATCAATCAAAACTCCAAAGGCAATCGTGAGGACATTTCCCGTGTGAAAACGGAAATAAAAAAACAGGTTCCTGTGGCCAGCATATTGGTATGTCAAGCTGTATGCTTTGTTGTTTATTTTCTCTCTTACATAACACAACACTGAGCTTCCATGCAAAACATCAATACATCATAGCACACGTTAATTTGAATTACAGTATTTGCAGGTAAAAATTCATGTAAAATATTGCAAATTTCGAAGTTGAAAATTTGGTGTTACTTTTGAAATCATTTGTTTTCTGTAGAAATACAAACCAAAATAGAAAATTAAATTGGGTTAACTAATAAATGTTTAACTAGAAGGTCGCCTTTGTGTGTATCAGCGTGATTTCAATTTGTTGTGTAACTAGAAACTCCGAACCATTGTAATAGTTAGTACCCGGGAGATGTCTGCCTTCTATCATTCGCCATTAGATAACGTCATTCCTTGTTTTCACGATTAATTTCCCCGACATTTGAAGCATCATCAGGCGATACCGGTATTTAACTACTTCAACCAATTCAATTTTTAGGTGAGGACCGATTCGGGATGTGCATCTGCATGATGATGTTTCCACTGCAACGAAGACGATGTCTATGCCAAAACTGGACAATCCTATATATACCAACATACATGAACGATGGGTCGTTTTGCACCAAGAGAGATAAACCAATCGATGTAAGAAACATTTAAAGGGTAAATAAATGTTCAGCGACCACATTATCATTTTTAAAAAATTATTGCAGTATCAACATGTTTACGAGTTATACTTAAAGCTCAATGCTGAGAGCACGGCAACAAAATACCTACAGAAAATGAGACTCTAGATGAGGTCTACTGAGAATAAGATCAAATGTTCAAGAAGGTTAAGCGTCTTCTGTTTCATCGACGACACATGTTATGTAAATCTTGCTAACCAAATAAGTTGTATTCTCCTATGTGAAGATGGTGAACAGCCATGTACTAATTCATTTAATTTATCAACTTATATCAGTCACTTTTTCTAACAAACAAAAATAGTTCGATTTGAAACATTTTTTTCACTTTTTCGTCATTTTCTGAAATGAATAGTGTCGTTTTGATCCACGTCGAAACCTCATTACTTACATACAGTATATTGGTAAATTTAAATGTTAGTGATGTCGGTGACCCTTTCAACGCCGCAAAAAATATAAAACGCAAAATTTGCCTGTTTACTAGTTATTGTTTACACATGAGTAATACAACCCTGGGGCCGATGTAGCTACATACACCTGAACTAGTCGTGAATACTTATATAACAAGTAATTCTAGTCAGTATGTAAATCTCTGATCTAGCATGACAGGTCAGCTCCAGTTCATGTTAGAATTTTCCCTGGTATAAATGTCCATTCTGATGTTTTCAGATTTTTAAATGATTTTAAAAAATTGAGGAGGGGTGCAAAAATATTCCGATATACCGTATTTGAAACATTCACCAACATATCGTTTAAGCAATCACTTTTGAGCTAAAAACAAATACAGTTTCATGTAAAAAAAAATCTTGTCATCTTCTGAGAAGAATAGTGCAATTTAGATCCACATCGACCACCTTTTAGTATTACATCAAAATGATTAAACATTTAACCGATCGATTTGTGAACCTTTGATTAAAACTCCCTGTTGGATGATTTTGGTCGACATCTACGCCTGGTGGCCCCCGCTGGTCTTTATATTTACAATATTCGCCGATTTTCAGGATTGATCAAGGCGACAAAAATTGCATATTCAAAAACGGTTTCAGTAACTGGTGATTTGCATATGATAAGTCCTATGAGTTATTGGCAGATATGATGAGATCTGTTTCCGTTGTAAATCGAGGGAAATGGTATTAAAATGATACAACCAGGATATTTCCGGCCTATTGTTATTCAGCTCTTCCATTTATCGAAAAGCAAACTCGTATTGACATTTTGCAAGTGGGGTCATATCGATTTGCGAGGAAACAGCCTACCGTTTATAATACTTGCCTGCTATAATTTTGAGAAAATGTTCGTCAATCTCAAACTTTCAATGAGGATTACAAGTCAAAATATTTCCACACGGATTTGCTTTAAATCAATGTCTGTTTAGGCTACGATATAGCGCCTTCTCTCGCGGGACAGGATGATAAATTAGAAGTTAGTGTATCGTCTGCTCGTTACAATTAGTAACAGATGATCGCTTGACAAGGTCAGAATGGCGGGATGTTGGTTGAATCACTTACAGCTATAATTGCGTTCGAGTGATAGGATTGCATTTCTCGTTATTCTATTAATTATCTGACATATGAAATTTACTACATATTGAACTAGTACACCTCCCATCTCGATTTCGACATTTCGTCCGATCACTGATGGGGAGGAGGGGTGCTATTAACATTTTTGTTGTTTTCGCAGGTATAGACAAGCCGTGAAAATAATATACATCGCATAAGACTAAAGAAGACAGGAATTTGTGTATACTTCAGTGGTGTCCGTGCATATTTTTACTCTTAAAATGTGTCTATACACGTAAGTATTGTACGATTTTGTAAATGGTGTGTCTTCTACACCTTATTTAGTCATGAATACCCTTTTCGAGTTATCAAAATGACGATCCGTGAAAAAAAAATTGAACGAATGCATACAAGGCTATACGAGCGCGGTGCTCGTATGAATACGTGGTGGTCTTGTTGTTACAGAACATCTTTTGTCGCCGTGAAAGACAATTACCTCGCGGGACACATGGTCATATTCTGCTTGGGTTTCCGTGTAACTTTTCATCGTCTTTCAGAACTCTTTGAATTGAACGTTCATTGTATCTATAATGTATGATCTGTATTTCAAGTTCAAAACTTATATCTCCATGTTGCATATAGTGTATAGTTTAATAGCTTTCGGCTGATATCGACCTGGAGAAGTCGGTAATTGTTTTTAACATCGAATAGACTCACAGTTAAGATTTACGTTTTCTCATTTTTTTTTTTTTTTTTTGTTTTTGTTTTTTGTTTTGATTTTGTTTTTGTTTTTTATTTTTTATTTTTATTTTTTTTTGTAAATATAATTCGTCTTTTGCTGTATAGAAAAGTAATATTTGTCACCCCAAGTGAATAATGTCATGTTCTAAAATAACAACAAGAGAAACGACATGAAATAACTAGACCTACTAACGAGCATGAAACACGTCCAAATGTATATCGTGCATGGAAGTATAACATTTTCCATTGAAATCATTGTGATAATTATAAAATTTCCCAATATGTCTAACCATTGTTTAATGTGTGGTATGTGTGAGTAATTTTTTGTATTGTCTTCGTCTTCATAAAGTGGTAGATCGACTTGAAGAATCGACAAAGATAAGGGCATTAAGTTTTCAGCTATATGTACATCATTAAAATTTCCGTGGCTAGTATGGTCGTCATACTGGGGTTTATCTATTTTCCTTTAATATTTGGATCACCATCATTTTAACACTTGCTTAAAATGCTTTTTGGCTATTTATAAAGAACGTTCGGCGTCCACCAGCCGAAGGCATTATTGGGACACAACAATATGGTTCTCAATTATACTTTGTGATTTTTTCTTTGTTTTATGTTCTATGTATGTAATGTTTTGTAATATTTGTTTCTTGTTTAAGGGGGCGGGTTGCATTGATAATTTGATGATTTACTTGTCCGCACTTTCGTCAGTACTTCATTGATCATATGTCTATTCAAATAATACGGATTCCATGACCATTTTTTTTGTAAGGATTCAGTACCAATATTGGACCATACCGTCGATATTACTTACCAGATTCTATATATAGACGATCCAGTACCAATATTGGACCATACCGTCGATATTATTTACTAGATTCTATATATAGAAGATCCAGTACCAATATTGGACCATACCGTCGATGTTACTTACTAGATTCTATATATAGAAGATCCAGTACCAATACTGGACCATACCGTCGATATTACTTACTAGATTCTATATATAGAAGGTCCAGTACCAATATTGGACCATACCGTCGATATTACTTACTAGATTTTATATATAGAAGATCCAGTACCAATATTGGACCATACCGTCGATATTACTTACTAGATTCTATATATAGAAGATCCAGTACCAATATTGGACCATACCGTCGATATTACTTACTAGATTCTATATATAGAAGATCCAGTACCAATATTGGACCATACCGTCGATATTACTTACTAGATGTTATATATAGAAGATCCAGTACCAATATTGGACCATACCGTCGATATTACTTACTAGATGTTATATATAGAAGATCCAGTACCAATATTGGACCATACCGTCGATATTACTTACTAGATTCTATATATAGAAGATCCAGTACCAATATTGGACCATACCGTCGATATTACTTACTAGATTCTATATATAGAAGGTCCAGTACCAATATTGGACCATACCGTCGATATTACTTACTAGATTCTATATATAGAAGGTCCAGTACCAATATTGGACCATACCGTCGATATTACTTACTAGATTCTATTGATCAAAATATTTATTGAATTATCTACATGTATCGTGATCTGTTACATATAGGAATACTGCAAAGTGTTTATCAACATTGGAGCAAGCAATAAGTCAAAACAATTAATCAAAAGACGTATAGGGATTGCAAAAAATTAAGACATTATTCATAAAGATAAGAAATCTTGTTATTCCGATTCACTTAGTAGGAATTAATTAGTAAGTTCATTAAAGCATGGGTTACTAGATATTTAGTGACTCTCCCTTGCGAACGCCAGCAGGTCAGTGTAACAAAGAACATCCACTCCATAGTGGACTGGGAATAAATGCCATATCATCTCGCACTCGGCGCTAACACATGGCCACTTTTAGAATATTGCCTCATAATGACGAATGTAACAAGGGAAATCTCTTGTGGTTCTCGTCACGATCACAGAGGCCTCCGGATACGAAACTAAACGGACAGCTCTCGTTACCGGCACAAATACTACTGACAGTCGGTGCGTTGTTGATTAGCTACCATGTTCAGACAGGTCGGTTTGTGATGTAACGATCGAAGATTTACTTTGGAAGTATTTTATTTAATCAGTTCAAATACGAAGACGACCTTAGTCTCTAGTGTTAATGTATGTAGTGTTTATAATACCAATTTGAAGCGGTGATGCTGAAGAATCATCCTGGGAAATATTCCGCTCTTCTCTTATAAATTTGAAACGGAATTAAAATAACAAAAAATGCGGGTACTAAATGAAGGCATTACGCCTTTGAGAGGATGAAGCGTCACAACACATTCATTACAAGGAAAAGAGTGAAGGCATTTTTTTCTAATGCAGGAGAACAGACAGCAATGAACTAAACATATATATATATGTTTTTCAACATCTTTAATTAAAATCATTTTCGTTCCGAACTGAGTATAGACAAATGTCTTGTTCCATAATCAAAACTATATTAATAAAAATAGAAATTATCCATTCTGACTATCATTTCCAGTGTGTATTAATTTTATGTTTACTATTCACTGATTACTTACCATAAACATTGATTCTCCCAGTGTACGAGATCTCACCCACTTCGTTACTAGCTGTACAGGTGTACTCCCCTCCAAACTGGATCTGGACGCTGGTGATATTTACATAACTAACAACGGTTCCTAGAGAGTTCACAGAACTGCCCACGTGAACGTTTGAATCATGTGGTATTACGGCGCCGTCTAAAGTCCACGTGACCTTCGGCGTAGGGTTTCCCGCCGCCGTACATCGTAACGACGTTCTCTGTCCATTTAGCACGAACTGGTCGACAAATGTATCGACAAAGGACGGATGAGCAGCTATAGACAAAAAAAAACCATTATTCATTAAATATTCCAAAATTATATCAAGACGAATGAAAACAAACCAGGAAGAGTTATTATTTTATTCTTAAATCATTGATTCCCATGTATTAATTTGTATATATGTCTCTAGTGGCATGTGCCCTGAAGTGTTTTACACTGGCTTCGCCAGTCAGAATGCAGTTGCGATGTGATATATTCAATGTCGCTGCGTCGTAAATTGATTTTAACTGAGGATAATTGCATATATTTTCTTCATATTTACTTCAAAACTCATCAAAATGTATTTTCAAAATTATGCATAAAAAGTATCTTAAATTTGTTTTTTTTTTTATTTTATTTTATTTAATTTGGGCTTTTATTGAAACTCGTCTTGAAGTTTCAATTTTTGCTTGATTTTGCTTAATTTCTTATACTCGTTTCATAAAGTTTCAAATGAAATGGAAACATATTAATAAAGGCTATTTAGTTTAGTGTAATTATGTTCTATAAATAGCCTACATCCGAGTAGAAGTTGTGCAGTGCCCTGTGAGCTAGCCTCGTCATTAGTAACAATACACTGGTACATCCCCTGGTCCTGGCGACTAATGTCCACAATCTCTAAAACAGTATCTGATTGGATGGATATCCGATCGTCAGCAACCAATAGCTCTCCATTCTTATACCACGTGATAGACGTTATTGGGAAACCAGATACCGTACAGTTGAAGACAGCTGTCTGTCCGGAATCAATCACCTGTGTCGGAGGGTCAATGTACGTGATCAGTGGGGCTGTAACACAGAAAAATAATGATACGATGATTAGCGAGATACAGCACTGGCAACACTCCTTTATATTAGCGCAACGATTAGCGAGATATTGGTACACTTATTAGCAGGGCTTCAACATTGGCAAGGCAATTATTAGTACAATGAATAGCCGGTTATAGCACTGGCAGTACATCTTGATATAAATCACTAAAAGTACTTAATACAAAAATAATAGTATAATGATTACTGGGGCTACAACACTGGCAAGGTGTATTGATATTAGCGGGTTAGTGGAGCTACAACACTGGCAAGGTGTGTTGATATTAGCGGGTTAGTGGAGCTACAACACTGGCAAGGTGTATTGATATTCGCGGGTTAGTGGAGCTACAACACTGGCAAGGTGTGTTGATATTAGCGGGTTAGTGGAGCTACAACACTGGCAAGGTGTGTTGATATTAGCGGGTTAGTGGAGCTACAACACTGGCAAGGTGTATTGATATTAGCGGGTTAGTGGAGCTACAACACCGGCAAGGTGTGTTGATATTAGTTGATTAGCGGGACTACAACACTGACAAGGTGTGTTGGTATTAGTTGGTTAGCGGGACTACAACACCGGCAAGGTGTGTTGATATTAGTGGGTTAGCGGGACTACAACACCGGCAAGGTGTGTTGATATTAGCGGGTTAGTGGAGCTACAACACTGGCAAGGTGTGTTGATATTAGCGGGTTAGTGGAGCTACAACACTGGCAAGGTATATTGATATTAGCGGGTTAGTGGAGCTACAACACTGGCAAGGTGTGCTGATGTTAGTGGGTTAGCGGGAATACATCACCGGCAATGTGTGTTGATATTAGTTGGTTAGCGGGACTACAACACCGGCAAGGTGTGTTGATATTGGTGGGTTAGCGGGACTATAACACTGACAAGGTGTGTTGATATTAGTGGGTTAGCGGGACTACAGCACCGGCAAGGTGTGTTGGTATTAGTGGGTTAGCGGGCAAAGTGTGTTGATATTAGTGGGTTAGCGGAGCTACAACACCGGCAAGGTGTGTTGATATTAGTTGATTAGCGGGACTACAACACTGACAAGGTGTGTTGGTATTAGTTGGTTAGCGGGACTACAACACCGGCAAGGTGTGTTGATATTAGTGGGTTAGCGGGACTACAACACTCGCAAGGTGTATTGATATTAGTGGGTTAACGGAGCTACAACACTGGCAAGGTGTATTGATATTAGTGGGTTAGCGGGACTACAACACTGGCAAGGTGTATTGATATTAGTTGGTTAGCGGGACTACAACACTGGCAAGGTGTATTGATATTAGTGGGTTAACGGAGCTACAACACTGGCAAGGTGTATTGATATTAGTGGGTTAACGGAGCTACAACACTGGCAAGGTGTATTGATATTAGTGGGTTAGCGGGACTACAACACTGACAAGGTGTGTTGGTATTAGTGGGTTAGCGGAATTACAACACTGGCAAGACACCATCGTTTTGTTACAGTGACTGACAATGAACCTTAATATCCGGTGTTGGCGGGGCTACAATACTGGTAGTGTAACTTAATACTGATTCGATTCACTTACTTTCCAAGAAATTCAACACGATTATTAGCAAACAATGCTTAGAATAGGGATACTGCAGTAAGACATCAATGGATGTGAAGAAATGAAGGAAAGATGGATCCTGCTGTAAATCTATCATCTTATAGAGGGTGTTTATGTTGCTATTTCAAAGATGGGATAAAAAAAATGCTAAAAACGTAGATCAAAACATAACGTATTAGAACAATTCATAGCATTTTTACCACTCCCGTGAAAAGTACATCCAATGTACTTTACGTTTTGGATTAAACTTCCGTTTTTTTTTAAACTCCGTTTTTTGTCCTTGACGACAACTTGGGAGTATAGACATAAGGCAATGCTTGTTTTATGTTTGTTTACGCAGATGAACCTCATAACTGCAAACAACACCTAGAACAATAAACGGCTCGGGCAAGTTGATACCAGTAGAAACAAACTAATCATAAATCTCCTAAAAACGCCTCCGCTTTTTAAAGCGTCGGAAAAAATTTACGAGTTAGGGGAAAACTACAAACGTCAGCGAAACCTCAGAACTTTAAAAAGCATACAGGAGTGGTCCCGTTATCAATTTCAACTTGGCGAAGTCTATTAAGACTGGTTCTATCCAGCGTCAAATTAGCAATACCTCAGGGCAGCTATTTTGTATTTATGTTTCATTTTCAGAGGTTACAGACACCATGTTCAAACAGCTTGATTCAAATTCACCAAATCATATACATTTCTACAGTTGTTTTTTCCAAAAACCAAAATCGGTCTTGTAATGTGGTTACATATGAGTTGATTCCTTGTGCACCAAACGTCTTTTTGCAGTTGCAGCAATTGAAAAAACAGACTGTACTACACTACCTCGAGTGATAAGCTTGGCGTCCCTTGTCGAAGCTGCTTGGCAATTTCAACGTTGACCTTCGAGTCATACCACACCTCATAAACGTTTGCAGAAAATGAATATTTTTTTTGTACACAGCTAACCATGTAAAACGATCGATCGCGGAAAACCTAATTGGTAAAAGTAAGAAATGGACTCTATATTACATTCCCAAAACACAGCACTTGCTGTCGCTTAATCGCTTTCTTGAAATAAAAACTTGTAAATTTGTCATTAGAATTTTAGAAAAAAACGTCTGAACGCTAGTAAGTTCGGGCACACAGATGAAACTTTTACGGTTTCTTAAACTCGTGTTTTGTCGGAAAAAGGTCCACAAAACACAATTAGTTTGATAATAGGTTGTTAAAGTGTTGTAAACAAGGAGAAATTGATGAGAAATTACTAAATACTTATTACTGCAATTCATTAAGTCGTTCATCTATTCTTAACATAAAACAGCGTCACCATCTGTCTGTTTCCTATTTAAATCGCTTCACCAGCGTACCTACCACCGTGTTTTACCCTGAACCGAAAAGTCTTTTAAAATATCATCATTAATTAGCTATTAACTTATATTGAGCCTTAATCACCATAAGTTAAATGAAAGAAAAATTCAATTTGCTGTGAAAAGATAATCAACTATTGTAATTTAGTTGAATTATTGCATGATTTGAGAAAATGTTTATAATCACAATTCACACATTTGTAACAGGGATACAAGTCGTGCCTAATTGGGGAACAACCTTACGCGTAATCTTTGTATTGATGTTCTGAACAATAGAACAGTAGGAACGCAGACATGTCGAAGAAATTGTGTTATGTGAATTAATTTTTACGCGCAATATTCTTTTTTTTTTCTAAACTCAGAACAACAGATAACAGAACAGCAGAAACGTCGACATGATAAAGAAATTTTGTAATGCGAATGAATTTTTACGCGAAATATTTTTGTCTTCTTTTCTCTCAACACAGAACGACAGACAACAGACAGTACAAACGCAAACTTGTCTAAGAATTTACGTAATACGAATGAATGTTTACGCTGTTATATTTTTTTCGCTTTCTCGAAACTCGCGGGGGGGGGTGAAAATGTTGATACATGCCAGTAATTATACTAAAATAAATTCAAATAATTCAATATCAAAGATAATCAAATTATTTCAGCATCATCATAATTCTGAAATATCGGAAGTATCAAGTAATTATCAAGTTTCTGTTAATCTATGTATGTTATGCCACACGTGAAATATAACAAAAAGTCGACTATTTACAATAAAAACACGTGTAAAATTTAAATAGGCATGCGGTAAACGGCGCTAACTTAGTATCTATGGATACGTACATGTGACGATAAGTTCAGTCACAGCCGTGGCTGATCCGTGTTCGTTTGACGCATTACATATGAAATGTCCACTGTCTTTCACTGTCGCCGCTTTGACCACTAAATTCCCGCCTTTTTGGACAAAATGTGTATTGTCGATGACAATACTTGTGGTAGGAGAGTTCATGTGCCATCGGTACTTCGGTAAGGGGTTGCTACTAGCAACGCATGGGATTTCAACAGCTTCACCTTCTTTGACCTTGACTGTACGCGAGACGTCATCCATGGTCGGGGCCATCCAGCCTACAGGAGGGTCTGGAAATAAGATCGATTATCGATTAAAATCTTTCATGTTGTACTACAAAGTATTATTCTTAATTTCATAAAATGAGACATATTATTTTCAATATCATAAACTGAGACATACTATTCTTTATATCATAATCTGAGGCAACGTTACCTTCATAATCGCAGAACAAAATTTCATCCTGATGTTTAATTCGCCTAAAATTATGTTATTCATCTCGAACATCGAAATTGCAATTTCGCTCTTTGCGAGAACGGCTAATAACAATTGCAGCGAGATTTGTCTCAGTATTCAAATAAAATGCATTGGATAACGGGACACATTCCAGAGACGTTGTTGTCATAGATGTTTCATTTGTATTATACAACTGTACACCGATACTTACCGTGAACAGTAAGGTATGCATATGAGCTTGATTTCTCTTCCCCTGTCAGCGTGTTTCTCGCCACACACCGGTAGGTGGTGAACTGGTCGTCATCTCTGATGTCCCGGATGTGTAATTCACCGTCATACAATAGACTTGTCCTTTCATCTATAAATAAGTCGGTATGATATAGATAAAAAAAAAATCATTTTAAATGCGCGGGAAAACACGATGTTTGCTACATTTTATTTGAAGATATCAGCTGCAGTTAAACAGTGAAAATAGAAATGTGCATAGATATGAAAAGATGAAAAGATTTGTGGAACGTAAAGAAACATTTCCAATGTTTATTCCCTAACAAGTATCGACGTTTGCTGAAGTAATTAAGTCCTTACCTTCAACAATCGGAGTAGTACCCTGAACCCAGCCGACGACTTTGACGTAATCTTTGACGAAATATGGATTTATACTACAGCGAAACACGGCAGTGCTTCCGCGCATCGCCCACACTTCATTTGACGTCAGATGGTACGTCGTGTATTCATCCACCAACACTAAAACGACAAGGAAATACCGACATGGAAACAAAATTCCAGTAAAAGTACATGTAGAATGAGACAATGTGTTCCAGAAGAGTAAGCGTTTTCTGCTTCATCGACGACACTTGTTATGTAAATCTTGGTCAATACAAGTAAGTGATGTCACGTTCTCAAATATGAATAAGGTATACAACACCGGAACCAACAGACGAACTAACGAGCATCGAATAAGTCCAGCTTCATGTCGCACAAAGAAACAGAATAATTATCAGTGAGATCGCTATGACCAACAATTGAAAATAGTCTAAAAAACATAGTTTACATTTAACTACACTGGACTATCTACGCTCTTTTGTTGTGTGTGTATGCTTTTTTCAAATTTTTTTTTTTTTTTTTTTGTGTGTTTTTTTTTCAGGTCATCTAATATAAACATGCGGTCGCATTTAGTACACACAAGAAACTGACTTCACAAAGACGCTTCAAAGCAATGCGGTACATTATACAGTGTAAGTACTAACAAATATGTTTCATAGTCCGTGAGACGTAACACCATTCTACATTCCGGAAGTTGTACAAACATTTCATATTCCGAATGTCAGTTATGACTATATCCGTTCTACATGTAACACCATTCACGAAAGATATAATATAGTGAAAACAGGCCGTGCAGTGTCCAATCGATACAAAACTTTAATGAAATGAAATTAGATAAGGGATTTTATTTCTTTCTGAAATTATAATAAAAATAATTGAGTCATAGATAGGACTTTATATTTTATTAGTTTTTTCCCTTAGTGATACCATCAATAAAGACTAGCAATGAATCATTCATTTGAAATTTAAAAAAGAGCATGTCACCTAAAAGGTTTTATACCGCGTTAAACGTAAATTAGCTTGCTATTAAAAAAACAGCCGCTGAGAAAACTGCAATTTACATCCCATTTCAGACCTGTAACGCATTCTTAACACCGCTGTATAATAGTCAGATTTTAAAATAAAATGTCTGAATATTTTATATCTTTACAAGCCTATTATCGAGCTTAAACTATCTCGACATATTTTAATAAACTGTTCACGTTCCTTACAATTTCAATAATTCAAATCATCGAATTACAAAAAAATAAAAAAATAAAATAAAAAATAAAATAAGAAAAAAACACGTAAAATTTAACAGAAGCTAGTAGCTGAATTTTCATTGCATATGGAACATGTCATTGGAACCGCTTGATATTAGATTTGCATGTTATCGAATTTCAAAGCCTTTGCGAAATAAAATTTAAATTTCAGAAGCACGTGCAAAAACCGAGTTTAAATGACAAGTATCCCCATACACACTCTTTCATTGCAATGTAATAACTAGGAATCATAAAATGCGAAATATTTGAATATAACATAAAAGTTAATTTATTCCGTTTTTAGTGTTTTCTCAGTTTTTCTATGAAACATGTTATTTAAGTTTTTACAGGTTTTACGAATACATAGTTATATTTAGGGGTATAAGCAAGATACATAGTTATGTTTAGGGGTATAAGCAAGATACAAAGTTATGTTTAGGGGTATAAGCGACATACATATTTATCTTTAGGGGTATAAGCGACATACATATTTATCTTTAGGGGTATAAGCGACATTCATAGTTATCTATAGGGGTATAAGCGACATATATATTTTCAGAGGTGTAAGAGATATAAAAGCGAATTTCGATACTTTTTCTATTTTTTTTCTGAACTTTACACTGTATCTATTTTCAATCATGTATATTTTAAATCCGAAGGGTGAATTTTCAAAAATATACATCAAAATGAAAAAAAGAGACATTATATTTAGCATATGCCTTACTAAGAGGTTTCTCCTCTTTTTAAATTTGAAACAGGATTTTTTTCAACGATGTATAATTTTGTTATATTTTTTGTAAATATTTACCTAGATAGATCCGCAACAGCATAATAGCTTTTATTGGATATATGGTAAATGACAACATGAAATTATCCGAGAAAGAATTTAAAATGGATTTTTTAAAATCTCTCTACTGCGGTTATTGCATGTGTCATTATAAAACGATAGGATTGAGAAACAATAATGATTTATTATTATTAGAAAGCAGCATGTTTTATGTCAATGATCCATTTTAAACACACTCTGTGTATCACCTAGGGGGAAATCCATCATATATCGGGATATAAAAAATAATAGTAAAAAATGGGACACAGTTACCATGTACATCAAAAAGTCCGAGATTCGAGATAATCACTCCTAGTAAAGCTGACGTCATAGTATTACTGGTGTGGTCCCTGGAGTGACGAAGGGCTTGGGCTCAATAATCGAGTACAACAATACTCGATATAATGAGGAGGATGAGAGGAGAGGTCGAAATACAAAATAAATATATTGAAAGAAAACTAACCATATGCTAATGACAACCAATATACTACGTTGTTTAAATTCCCCGATTATTGAGTAATATTTCGAGAGCCTCGCGTTCCCAATGGACGTTGGCTGTCAGCACGCTTTCTACACTGCATTAAATACTCCTGATTTATACAGTAATATGTCCATTAATAGCCATTTAAAAGGGATTTTATGTAACGAAATACCGAGTTGAATTTTCTAATCACTGTCTAATGCTTTAACAACTCACATGGCGGTGGAATTGCATAAAAATCTGTCCGATTCACAGCGTACTTTGTTTTGAAACGTGTTTTACGTCTTAAGAGCACTAGACTCACCGGAAAGTACAGTGCCCATTTTAGTAGTTAGAAATCACGAACCGGAAACCGCTGTAACCATTTTTCTAGTTAGAATTATTTAAACCGCTTCCGGTTTTGCACGTGACATGCGAACTGACAATACCTAAAGGTTGGCAAACATTGGTTTTCCATTAGAAGCTGCAAGGATTTGTTGAAGTAAACATGATTTCTTACATTAGTTTGAAAATGAAATAGAAATAATATTTGCATAAATGAGAGACTTATCTACGACTGATTGCGTGCAGGTAATTAGAAGCTATTATTGAATTCGACCTGTGTACTCACTTGGAACATATTCTTGATCGGCTATGTAGCCTAAAAAGGCCATGTGTGTTGCTTTCTCATTAGAAATATTTATTGAGCGATTCGAACTATAAAATTCGTAATAAAATCTACCATTGTGCATATCGTAGCTTCATTGTACAAAACTCGCCGGTAATGTCCATTTCTTTATTGATAAATCCGTTTTCCGCATCATTAATTGTGACAAAAGAACGAATGTGAATCGAGAAACTGCTTCATCATGATTGTTCCTAATTCGAATATGCTAATAGATAATCGCCATTTTTTTATTAGCTTTCGAAGAGATGACTTTTTAATGTATGGCTACCTGTTCACCTGTTCAACATAACTGAGAAGGTTCTAGGAATTTTTAATCCACCAGGAAATATTCTCAGTTGCAATACGTCTTAAACATTTGCACCTATCAAAACTGACAATAAAAAACAACTCAGTGTCGTATTTCCTTCGGAAATAGTTTTATAATTAATAAACATAAATCCTCTCTATTTACTTTACAACAATTGTGAAACAAGTTTTTCTTAATTATATTGATCACTCTGGAAGCGCGCGAGGGGTCTTAGAGTGGAGGAAAACGGAGTATCCGGGGAAGCCACACGTGGTCGGGCAGGTGACCCAATATTATTTTCACGTCCGGGAAATAAATGCCGGGCGGCTAGGTGAAATGCGAGTTCTTTTACCACTGCGCCACCCGACCACCCGACATTTTGCTTTTCAATTATTTAATTATCTTTATGATTATTTGTTTAAATGCATGTAATTGTTTACTTTTAAAAAAAAGTTTTTATTTAACTGAGAACAAAATCATGGCCATGAAAATGAAAACCCGTCTATTTCGTTATTACTCTTCAACTGCGCATGTTATCACAGTTATCGCCCTTTGCGTCATGACGTAAATTTAACACACATATTTGATAACAAGATAAATAAACGAAGGAAGAGTTTTCATTTGCCGACTCGTTTTATTTTTTAAGTTGTGTGTGGGTTTTTTTTTTTTTTTTTTAAACATTCATATCAGACCCGCGCATGTGCAAGCGTGACGTCTTCACAAAGTATCAAAACTAAACGCATGCGCATTGGACCTGATAAGAATATTATCCCAGGCCGATTACATAAATTCCACAATCGAGATTAGCTTTAATTGGTGTTATTATCGATCTAACAGGACAGGTAAATCACGGCACGTGGCAGTCCGTGTGGAGGTAAGATCGCAGGGCCTGATGGTTGACAGGTGTAGCGCGTTCGACCGTCCACCTGTAATTACCTTTACAGGTAATCAATACTCGCCTGTTTAAGGCCAGGGACAAATATTTCTTTGATTCTGTGCAGTAGTACAGCTTGTTATCATAAGTCACGTGATGACTCAACATAACACATACTTCATTCATTAATTATACATTTTATTTCAAATACAGTAGATGTACATATATATACTTTTTTGTGAAGAATCCATGAATATACAGAGTGTACCGACAAAGCAGCCACTGTATAATATTCAGTGTTCAGTTTATTAATTAAGGCAGTTTTCTTCTAATGCTTGGCATTTACAAACAAAAAACAGCTATGTGAGCCATATTTGAAACTCATATCACTTATTCAATCAGACTTTTTCAATTAAAGAAGCAAGTCTGAAAACATAGTTATATCTGATACTGTGTAGCATTGTTGACAGTCAAACATCCTTAATATTTGGTTAACTGATGGAAATTACGGATCTGAACCTCATGTACGACCCGAGGTGCAACTAAAAAGAGACCGGTTTGTCCTGTCCAGGTTTTTTTGTTCTATTTGTTTAAGATGGCATGTGACAGAACTCCCGAATGTTGTTCAGTGAGGTAGCCACCTACTACAACTAGAATACCCCGTCGCAATATGATCCAGCAAACAAACATCAGAAAGTACGCGAACGTATTCTTGTGTTCTGGACTTATCAATAATTTCTGCCTGCAATCACGATGCTCGGCACCAAGTCTCGGCACCCCGACAGAAGGGTTTCTGTTATTTAACGGTAATAAACTATATCAAACACACAGTTGTAACATCTACATGTAAACGTTTTGATATTTTTTTTATTTCAAGACTTAATCTGATCAAACTATTAAGCGTTGCCACATTGATTATATCACCTGGTGCAGTATGGCTCTAATATGTCTTGCCTGGGGTCTTTTCGCAAAATCAACAGCAGCACCTGGGAGCAAGACCACGTGGGAGCCAGCAAGACCATGTGGAGTCATATGAGTACAATATGGTTGTTAACAGAACCAGGTTGTATATCGATAATAATTTCATTTCAAATTAATTCGATTTTTAAGATTTCCATGTTTAAAAGTGGAAAAATATACTTCATGCATTGGTACAAACACAAAATGGTAATATTTATCTGCAGCTTAAGCGCCTAACTGACTCTGAATCCACTTTACACATCTGGTAGCATCACTTACCTGCTTTGACATCCATATCTCGGCTGATGATGATTCCCGCGTCATTTGAGGCGACACATCTGTATGTGTGCGTATGTACTTCAGCGAGAAAATCGTTGGAATCAAAAGGATAGAAATACAGGGTATTGTTTGGAAGAATCTCGAGGATATCCGGAATGTCTTCAACAGCAGTGCCATCTTCCTTGATCCAGTCTAGTGAAGGGGCTGGACGACCAAACGCTGTGCATGGAACGGCGGCCCCTTTCGTGTTTCCGAACGTCAACGAACTTGGAGGTTCAGAAATGAATATAGGGCCCCTCAAATTATCCAATGGGGACTCGGTCGAACGCCCTGTAATTACATATGACGTGTTAACAATGAAGACAAAGAGATATGAGACTTTTTGTCTAAACCATTATACAAGAATATTGTTCGATGCAGTTTCGCTTTTATAAACAATAAACAAACGTTTGCATCTACGTAAAATTGATCTTTACCATAAAATTTGATGTTTTTTTCAGGAAGATTAAAAGATATTTTAATATAAAAATCTTATAAATTATCAAATCGAATTTATTTCTTTTCTTTTCTGATTGTATTTTCAATATTTTTTAGCTGAAAGGCAATTCAAAAACAAATACAGGTTATATAAGTGCAGAAATGCATAAATAAAAAGTTTTCCCACATACATTTTGTACTCAACAAAATCTTATTTCACGTCAAAACCAACACCAGTGCTGACAGGCCGTTTGCGTTAACTGATAAACTTTGAATCCTCTGTTGATTTTATGACAGGAAAAGATGCTTTATGCGGTATGATTGTGATATATTTATAAATAGTAACAAAAATTAAATATCGATGTCAAGAAAAAAGTAACACTCTAGAGCTTGAAACCCGTGATCCGGTTTCATCGTGTAGTTTATCTCTCTAAATCAAATTCAAACAAGGTCATAAGATACGAGGTTTCTAAAAATTTGATCAGGCAATGTTGGAAGTCGAGAAAGCAAACGTCGTCTTAATATCTCTCTACCCAGGATACCGTTACTGTCTAGCTGTGGTATCCTTCAATCTGATTCAGATCACAGCTTTGATCTCTGTTCATATTAGAACGTTAGCCATTGGACCAACGGAGTCGAAAACGTCACTGGCGGGAATCAAAAGCGTGTATGAGTAAGCTTGTAGTGTCCCTAAGAGTATCGAATGACTTATATTAAATTGTAATTAACAAAGTCAAAAACAATCAACGTGAATGGCTATGAAACCAAATCCGCGTAAATCAATTTTGGAGATAAAATGGAAATCAAATGAGTAAATTGATATTGATGTGAAAAACAATCTCTGACTTTCTCTTGTGAAAGGATCACGACGCCATCTTGACGTCGTAAATTAGCAAAGTGGTTAACATCAAAAAGGTCGTAATTGATGACGTCATAAACAATGCCTCGTTTTCATTTGTGTCTCGTGACTATTGATTAAGATTTTGGGAGGGACTTGTGGCAGATAGTTTAACTCATTAAGCAAGACTCTAAACAAATTTCCAATTTGACAATAAAATACTTGCTAGTTTCTGGTTTAATTCTAATGCTTTCCATTGGACGACCATAGTCAATCTTTTGAATCAATTACATTTGTACCCTAGGTAAGCCATAAAGGTTTTATTTGCTTGCAATACAAGCGTCTCTACTTCATGGTCCTTGTGCACAAAACACAAAGAGCATGTAAAGAAGAATTTGATTCTAATTTCTGCTATGATTAATATAGTTACAATTCCTTTGTTTTTAATGAAAACGTATTCCTGATTCCGTGCGCGTGTATTTTACACAATTATTCCCCGCCCAATAAGCGACATTCGGGATGGTGTAATTTGTACATTGTGTTCTGGTCGCAAAACCTATCAGTAGACATGACACCCGTCAGTGTGAGCTAGCCAGGACCAGATTGCAGCATCCCATAATGCTACATGATTAACGATAAAGGAATGGGGCCCCACATGGGGACTCTCATGGCTTCTTTATTGTCATTATATAGTACGTTATTGAACCCATATTTTTTATCTAGAACAAAACACTATTCTGGTGAGTATCACGCGCTTTAATTTTTACAATATCACCTGAAAACTCGCGTAAACTGAAAATTAGTTTAATATCTGTATATGATACACATCCTTTGAGTCTCAAGTAAACCAAATTTCGATTTTCTTTACGGAAATTTGAGAAGTGTATTTTTTTTCCTTTTCTTTAAGTTCATATTCATAATCAACTGTTCAAATGTTAAAACCTGTATAAATGCTCCGTCAAAATAAAATAGTTCACCGGGTACGTGTCATTAAAGACAGCTTGCACCAAGGTTGGCGCAATATGGCTGTCAATGAAGATGTATGTATAACCAGCTCACCTAAATACGTTAATGTTTAAAACTTTTTTGTCACTCCGCACATTTTGGATCGTAATTTGAAACCACGGGCACATTCCCCATTTAATGACCAGTTCGTATACATAGAACATTCCTATAAAAATAGCGTGTAAGGTAACAGATCTGCCGAAACCCCGAGGAAACGTCGAAAGACAATATGTCTCACCTTTGAGATACTATAAAAACAAACTGATCCAGTAATTCTATGTTTACACGCCCCATCAATATCATTCATCGTTTCCATTCTTACAACGTTGAGCTGAAAGTCCCCGTTGCGGCCCTCTCGAAACACTTGCAAAACGAGGGCAACCAGCGCGAGAGAGCCTACGCCCTCCGAGATTTCTAGCGCAAATCAAGTCTGTGTATCAAAATTCAATCAAAGACGTTTCCCACCCAAGGACCCTCGATATTGACTGAAACTTTTTTAATCTTCATTTCTTTTCCTGATAACCTTTGACCTATATCTAGAGAGCAACGTGCTCTGATTTCAATATGTCAAGCAGAAGTGTTGATGTGATCACGATTGGCGGTTTTTTTTAATATCTTGTGAATTAAATATTTATCGACACCAATCGTTCTCATGTCGTCTTTAATCGATAATCTTAAATAACGTCACTAAGCATATCAGAGGCGAAATCTTGGTCACCAATACGCTTACAGTGTCGTTGTTTTGTAGCAGCGATTAAACACATTATTGACACTGTTTAGTTCTCCAGTCATGTGGAATATTTAAAAGATTAAATGAAAATCCCATGAAATGTTCATCCTTCCATGTTTTTCCGAACTCGTCTTCTCAGGGAAGTTATAGAACAGAAAATGACAGAGTCCTTGATGTCGAATTCTTCGCAATCGCCAATTTGAAATTGTCTCAAAATGATAACCATGACCTTCATATCTTTATAAAATACATCATAATTTTCAACTAAAAATATAGCGCACGTGATTAATCAATTCAGCAATTATTGATTTCTATAAAAAAAATAAACTAATCAGGCTTTATCTCTTTCACAGATCAATGTTCAATTCTCTTGTACATTCATATCATTATATTGAACTTTTAAAATCAAACAGACGATATAGGCATCAGCTTCATCAATTATCCACATAATTGTTCGAAATTAGTTTATTAATTTATTTTTATGTTTTATAATCCCCACTGGACAATTTTAGTAGTTCTTCACCACTTTTTCATATTTTCTTCGTTTAATGCCGTTAGTTGATGCAGTCGTCTCTACACACGGGTGTAGTGTGAGCCTGGGGTCGTGTAGTTAGCTGTATATAACACCCTGTGATAAAGACCAAACGATTGATCATTTGTCGCTCCAGTCTTTATATAATACCTGGTTATCAAATATTCAATATAGTATATAATCCAGTGTAAATAGCCGTGTGATGATACCATTAACCTCTATACCGCGTAGATAATGGCCGTTTGGGTCTATTGTAGTCGATCGCCAATAGTAAGGTCACGAGACCACCCTTCATACCGACGCTAGAGTTGGATAAGTACTTGGGAATATAATCGATGTTATTTATATTACTTTATAACCATTGCCGATTATCGACCGTGATTGCAAAAAACAGAGTCTACTTTTAACCTATTCCAAAAATGGAAAAAACTTTTCTGCGTTTCAACATTTGAGAGATATGGGGAATTGGAGAATTGAGAATAATTTAAACTGTCACGTTAAATAAGGATATTCCTTAGTCATAACATCGGCGAATTATATTCCATAGATAGATATACAGTTAACCTCATGTTAAGTCTATCATTGTGCAGAGTGAAATTCCCTAGCCAGACCCTTATTTCTGTCAATAAGAATATTGAGGTTTTAGGATGATTTAAGAATTACGTGACCTATCAATCTTTTCTGTATCTAATGTACAAAAACAGGTTTATACAAAGCTGATGCCCGGGAAAATGTTTTGATTTCAATTTAAACAAGACTAATGACACATGTCCGTGGCAAGTCTACGTAACGTCTATTCGCAAAGACCGGAAACATATTAGTCTGTATATGTGTAGGGGTACGTCAGAGAAGTAGATAATTTACAAATCGGCCGTGCACCTCAGTTTCCGCAATTGTTATCAAATATTCATCTTAAGTTCTGCAACAGTGTAGACATCATAAAATCTGCCTCTGGCACGAATGTTCAGCACTTGTCACACTCTGAAATAGATCAGCTGCAGAAAAACATACAATTCTGTAATCACCATGATTGGACGTCGAGACATTTTCTTTCCGTCATTGAAAAGAGCCAATTTGTTTCAAATTACCTTGGAAACAAATTTGACCTAGATATTAGATAAACAAGGAATCTTGGAATTTACAATACCATCTTTACCTGTAGACGTGACTTGTTAAAGTATTGTATAACCCGTATTATTACTGACCCATTAAAATGTCATGTATACCTTTCCTTCGGTGAACAATTTTTTTATTTGGATGATGAATTATTCAATCACCCTCAAAAATGTCTATAATTGTACATATAAGTATATCATACAATTAATTGAATTGTAGAACGCAAGTTCATAAGATGTTATTATCTTTATTTTGGATATTTTGGTATACTTTTTTTATTTCCTTTCGCTAGTGAACATCTTCTTATCATAACTGGCTTGAATATTATGTAAT